GCCTGCTGCAGGCCGTCTAGGAAACCAGATTTAGGCACCAAGCCTCCGCCTCGTGTATAGTGGCAAGGTGTTTAGGCTTGGACCTGGTCAGAGTTCGAGATAATCGGCATGCATACCCTTGTTGTCCTTAGTTGTTCTGATCATTCTAACTTGTTTGTCTGTGTGCACTGCTGCGCGTTCCTTTTCTACTGGCTCAGCCCTCAGATCTAATTTGTATGTGAAGCTCTGCCCGCGCACCATGGACCCCAGGCAAAAGTCCAAATGAAAAAAAGATCTGCAGGGAAAGCATCCTCAGCATGGCAGAGACAGCGTCATAGTGTACAGTGGTGGTTTACTGTGCTGACCCTTCTGTTGGCTCCTGGCAGAGGTATCGGCAGGCCGGGCTGCCGCGGAGTTATTCAGTGAAGAGTTCTCGCTGGGCTGCTGCTTTCTGGGCCGGTGGTGTGCCCTTGACTGTGGCATCGTCGAGCCGTGCTGTCGCGGAGTCCTGCTGCTCGGAGTTTCGCTGGTGGGCTGCTGTGCTCTGGGCCGCTGTGGTGCCCTGGACTGGAGCCCCAGTGGTCTTGGCAGGCACGGCGCCTTCTCCACTGTGGGAGCGCTGTATCTTGATTCAGTGGGGCGCGTGCCTTCTCCGACTGAGAGCGCGTGGGTCTCCTGGAAGGTACACCGTCGACCTCGTGTCGGAGCGCAGCTTCTTTCGGGAGGCATGGCGTCGACTCCGCGAGGGAGCAGAGCCTCTCCTGGAAAGGACGGCATCTTCCACGGCTGGGTGCGCAGTTTCGCTTTTGAGAGGTATGGCGTCTACTCCAGCTGGGAGCCCGTCTCGCGGGTAGCACGGTGTCTTCTCCGACTGGGAGCGGAGCTACTCTTGGAGGTTACGGCGCATACTCCGAGTCGGAGCGCAGTCTCTTGTAAAGGTCTCGCGGGATGGCATTCGTGACAGTCTTGGGGGCGGCGGTCTTGGCAGTCTCAGCGGGGCTAGACTTGTCCTGGAATTGCGTTCAGAGCTCTTCATTCTTGATCAGCATAATTTGAACACCGCCATACGTAGTGCTGTGGTGGTGGCTCCTTTTGATAACATGTGCTGTTCTTGTGTGTGTGTGTGTGACACATGCAGCGCCGAATGCAGGAACCGCCAACTGACCAGACGCCACTGAGCTATTTGCGGGATGGCGCGGAATGCAGGAAGACTCATCGCATGCCACCGATCCGCTGCATCGTTCCATGATTTGACTGCATGGTGGAACTCTCCGCCATGCTCAATACAAATCCCCCGCGGGGGGGGGTGATCCTCCTACCCCCTCCTCCCTCGCGTTCCCGTCCCAGGGTGAACACTGGCCCTGAACAACGGGCCGTGGCGTTTCGCATGTTATCTATGTTGCCGTCGCCGTTTCTGAGTTCGTGCACGGATGACTGAATACGTGCAGCGCCAGCCGTGCCAGTGCTTGTTACGCGTTAGCACGTCCGCGCAATTATCTTGCAATGATGCTTCATGGTATGCGATGGCATGCCGTGGCACGCTTGTGGTAGAGACGGCGTCCTTCTCCTCCCCCTCCCTCCTCCTCCCCCTCACTTCTCCGCCCCATCGCTCCCCTCCCCCCGAAGAAGAATTTCGCACGGACCACCAGAAAAACATAAGTTCCTGCAGTGTGACGTTCCTCGGGCCAGGATACGGACTGAGCCTCGTTCTGGGGGCAGCGGCGCTCAAGCTTGCCGGGCCGTGCTCTCGTACGGCTTGCCGGGCAAGGGTTCGACCCCCCTGGCGTTCCCCGAGGGATCCGTCGTGCCTTGCGTTGGCCCTGCTGCAGCCGCCTGGCCTGCTGGCTCCGAAGCTGGCAGCAGCTTCGGCACAGCGCGGGCCTCTTTGGAAGGGTAAGGTCCCTGCCTGGGCCTGCTGCACCAGCGGCTCGCTGACCCTCTGCCGTGCGCGGTGCGCAGAAAAGTGCTGCTCCTATGGTGCTGTCATTCGTTCACTCCTCCTCCTCCTCCTCCTCCTCCTCCTCCTCCTCCTCCTCCTCCCTCCTCCTCCTCCTCCTCCTCCGCCTCCTCCTCCTCTTCCTCCTCCTCCTCCTCCTCCGCCTCCTCCTCCTCCTCCTCCTCCTCGAGACGAGGGGAGGTGGGCCCTAGGGGGTTCGATAGAGGGTTCTGGGAAGCAGGATGGGATGAGGATTCTGCAGGCTGCCTTCTCCTTCCCCTCCCTCCGCCTCCACGTGAAGGGGAGGCAGGAGGAGAGGAGGGTGGGAGGAGGGGCAGGAGGTAGAAGGGAGTTTTGAATAGCAATTATGTGAGGGTCGAGGCGGCTCTAAACGCTTCTCCTTATAACTCGTTTTCCGTCCGCCTTATGTGCCTCCTCCGCCTCCTCCTGCTCATCTTCTTCCTCCTCCTCCGCCTCCTCCTCCCCTCCTCCTCCTCCCCCTCCTCCTCCTCTCCCCTCCTCCTCCTCCTCCCTCCTCCTCCTCCCTCCTCCTCCTCCTCCTCCTCCTCCTCCTCCTCCTCCTCCTCCTCCTCCTCCTCCTCCTCCTCCCTCCTCCTCCTCCTCCCTCCTCCTCCTCCTCCTCCTCCTCCTCCTCCTCCTCCTCCCCCACATCCTCATCCTCATCCTCATCCTCATCCTCCGCCTCCTTCGCCTCATTTGTATCACCCTACTCCTCGTCCATCCGCGCCCGCCTCTCCATCAATCGCCTACTCTGAAGAGACCCCAGATGGGGCCGCCGCATCGCCGGCGCGTCGGCGAAGCATCAGCAACGGCGGGACGGGCCCCAAATCGCGACGTATCGGCGATGCGGCGCCATCGTCCGACCCCACCGTCGGCGGGTGCGCCGGCAAGGGGGGCCAGGAAGAGGGGGGCTAGCGCATCATGGCCCGAGGCACGTGCGCGGACGGGGGGGGGCAGGGCACGCTCTGGAAGAAGAAGAGGAAGAAGAAGAAAAAAAAAATATTATTATAAATTCGCCGGCCCAACGGGCCAGGGCGTGCTAAGATCTCCGGTAACTGGTTAACAGTATTAACAGTATTTCTAGTTCGCGCGCGCGGGGCGGCCCCTGGGGGTCCCCCGGCGAAAAGTACCCCGACCAACGCCCGGTCGCCGCCCGACCAAGTCTACTCAGAGATGGTTTTCCTTCTGGGTGCGGCCTCTCAGGCTCCCCAGAGCGCGCTCAGAGTGCCCCAAGAGGCCCCCAAGACTGCCCAAGAGGCCCCCGAGACGCCCAAAGAGCGCTCGAAGACGCCGAAGATGACCCCAAGACGGCCCAAAAGGCCCCCAAGACAGCCCAAGAGGCCTCCAAGACGCCCCAAGAGCCTTCCAAGAGGCCTCCGAAGAGAGCCCCAAGAGGCCAAAATCGTTGATTTTCATTGGTTTTTTCGATGTTTTTTGTGTTCTGGCTTTTTCGGCTTCCGGACGCTCCAAGACGGCCCAAGAGGCCCCCAAGACCGCTCCAAGACGGCCCACGAAGCTCCCAAGACGGCGCCGAAACGACCCAAGAGAGCCCTCAAGACGGCCCAAGTGCCGCCCAAGACGGACCAAGAGGCCCCAAGACGGGCCCAAGAGGGACTCAGGAGGGATACCGAGAACTCAAAAATGGAGCCCTCCGTCCCAGAAGGCGCCCAGGAGGTCCCAAAGAGGCCCCAAGAGGCCTCCAAGAGGCCCCAAGATGTCGCCAAGAGGCCCCAGGAGACTCCCAGGAGGCCCAAAAGAAGCCCCAGAAGGCTTCAAACATGTCTCCCAGGCGCCCCCGAACGGCCTCTCAACAGACCCCAAGAGGCCCCCCAAAGAAGCATCTTGACGACGACTCTATTTCGCCCCATCGAGAGACGACCCCCAGGGAACTGCTTCACCATCAAAACTCCCCACGCAACGCGTCCGAACGACACCCGCCCCCAAGAGCGCAACATGGGCAACGAACACACAGACAAAAACCAGCGATGCCATATCACGGGCCGGCGGAATGAGCGAAGCGATTCAAAAATAATGTTAATAAGAATAATAATAATAATAGTGATAAGAATGAGAAGAAGAAGACGAATAATAATAATACTAATAATATAATAACGATAAAAATGCTAATAATACTAATAATAATAGTAACAAATGATAGTTATAAAAATAAATACTAATAATAATAATAATAGTAATAATAATAATAATAGTAATAATAATAATAATAATAATAATAATAATAATGATAATAATAATAATACGGCTACTATCATTAATAATGACAATAATGGAAAGGCTAACAAGAATAATAATGATAATAAGAAGAAGAAGAAGAAGAAGAAGAATGATGATAACAATAACAAGAAGACGAATAAAAAATAACAACAATAATAAGAAGAAAGGGCCATAACATCTCAGAGTTTTCATGGCCCCGGCCGTGAGATCCACACCCACACCCACTTTTAAGTCGGCGGCGCAGAGGGATCTCCGGCGCAGTCGGCAGGTGGAGGTGCCAATCGCGAACGCACTTGGTCGAACGCGCCATGATGTTAGGGCCCAATCACGGCCATGCAGATTGGTGGTGAAAGACGAGAGGCGCTGCAATGCCAAAGTGCAGTGGCCCCAAAACCCGAGAAACATAAGTTCGACGCGGGTACTTTGAAGCGCAAGCAGCAGTCTGGTGCTGATTGAAGCCTCAAAGAGACAGTACGCGCAAAAACAACTACAAGGCTGCAAGACCAGCCAGCCTGCAAACCCACACCCACCCACATACACACTCGCACACACACACACACACACACACTTTCTCGTCGGCGGCTAGGCAGAGCGACTGCGCTGGTGGAAGAGGCATGACGTGGCAAACGGAAAGCGCATTGGGCCACCATGCAAGGGGAGGAGGAGGAGGAGGAGGAGGAGGAGGAGGAGGAGGAGGAGGAGGAGGCGGCGCCCGGCGACGGCGCGGTTGAGGGGGGAACCCACACACACACAGTCCTCACCCCCCTCCTGGACGCCCCCGACACCTGGGCGGCCCAGACCCCCTTACCCCGTCAGCCCCCTCGCCGTCGCTCGGCCTCGGCCTGGCCGGCGGCGGCGGCGGCGGCGGGCGGCGCCGAAGGCTTCTTCTGGAGCGCGCGGCGGCCCGACGCGCGAGAGCAGCCCTCCGGGCGTCGGCCGCGCGGCGCGTGCACGTAGGAGGACGCCGGATGCACCCCCGCGGCGGCCCTGGCCAGGCCCAGCGGGCCGGACGAAGTCGACGGCAAGCCCCAGGGGGGGGGGGCGCGAGGCGGGGGCAGCCCTTCTCGGCAGGCGGCGGGGCTCCTCGGAGGCCCTCGCGCCCTCTGAGTTAAGTCGGGCCTGTCCCCCTGAAGGGGGATCTTCGAGGAAAAATTCAACATTGACAAAAAAAATGGTCCAGTAATGCTCAACAAAATCGTCCCCAGGGTCGGAACGTGTACGGGGAGGCATACGCACCGATCCTGTGAGACGCAGCTTTGGGGGGGGGGGGGGGGAACAGCCCGGGGGGGGGGGGGGAGGCACATCGTCGACCTGCAATCGGCGGCACATCGCCGATGCCTCGGCGATACGCCCCCGATGGCGAGTCAGCACGCTCCCGGGCGGAGTGCGCTCTCGGGCTCCCATCGGCGATCGGTGGGCGACGGGGGCTGGACGCATCCCCTCCCCCCCAAGGCTATCCCCCCCTAGCGCTGCCCTGGGCGACACGCAAGAATGACCCTAGGCAAGGCGGACCTTTGGTGCGCGGCGGCTCTAGGGGGCCGCGCAGGGGGCCAACTCCGAGCGAGCCAGCCGGTGCTGGAGGGACCCCCTGGGGGCCTGCACCAAGAGGCACTCCGGCGAAGGGTCCCTGAAGGATGGGCCGGGCCGGGACCGGTGCGGCCGCACAGCCAGCGTCCCCCGACATGCAGAGCACGCAGCGTGCAAACTCGCGACACGACGGCGGGCTCAGCAGTTCAGCACCAGCCGTTCGGCTCGCCGGCGGCGCGCCAGAGGGGAGCGGGGCAGCGGTGGGTCGACCCGGTCTTCCGGGGAGGCTGGGGGGGGCGTCACTCGATGATCCTAAGAGCGTGTGATGGCGTTAGGTCGGGCATGTCCTCCTACAGGCGGAGCGTGAAAGAAAAATGAGAAATTGTCAAAACATGAATGCAAAAGTAGCCAAAAATGGTCAAACAAATGGTCCCCGTATTCATTTTTGTAGACTCCAGTAGAGGGACATTCCCGACTTGATGCTGGCACCAACGTGCGCTTGTCCTTCGAAGCCCTTCAGTACGACGCCATGAGGAGCATCGGCCCCGGGGGGGTGGGGCGCCCCCGAGGTGCGGCGACGCGCAGCGCAACTAGAAAAATGCGTGACAGGTCGCGGCCATAGTCGATAGAACCCAGCATTATGTGGCACTTCTCGAGCCGCATCGATCGGCGAGGGTCCCAAGTGTCAGTGGCACAAGTGCGCTCCAATGAAATAAGCGTGTTGTGACAGCATGTCAAGACACGAGCGTGCGCCCGCTGCTGTTTTCTATCAAATGCTACTGAGGGGACCCAGGGTATTGCAAATTACGAGCGATTCTGATCGATCCATCTTGTTTCATATGGTTGAATGTTTTGTTCCTTACTTCGTGTGAAGGGACTTCGACTGTTCCAGAGTGTGCCGCCGACTTTGGTAGCGGAGCCGAGTGGCTCCAGATCCGCGGCGAAAAGGATCGAAAGCATCGCTCTTGGTTTCCTCTGAAAGATGCGCCCTGGCGGCAAGCCAGGCGGCAAGGGCAAAAGCAAGGAGAACGGCCTCCAGGTCTTCCTGGTGATCCTGCCGGCAGAGACGGCGGAAACGCGGCTGCGGACGCAGCTGCGGAGGCGGAGAGGACAGCGATGGGAGAAGACGACAGCGACTTAGCTGAACCAGAGGAGCGAAGCCAGCGAAACGGTCGATGACATGAACGGACTCCACAAATGAGCGCTGAGATATTTGGCAAGTTGGACGTGCTGTATTGATACACCCAGGAAGTGGAGTTACGGGCAAATGTGATGCGTTCTTTGGAGAGGTCAGCCGGCAACCCAAGAAGACACTCAACGCGTGCGTGCTGCCACACGGACAGGAGTTGTCAAAGCAGGATGGCACTTGATGACGAGAGCAGGCGTGCCGCAATGGCAGACGCCAAACTTCAAAGCGCTATGCAACAACAAGCTGAGCGTGCAGGTCGCGACAGATGTGCTCAAGACGATGTTCGGTGACGAAAGTGTAGCCCACAAGAAAGACATCCATCGCGTGAACAGTACATGCAAGGACAAAAAGCATGACGAGCACGGGTAAAGGGCCGAGAACTTCGGTCTAGAGGACGACGACGTGCTCTACAGCCACGAAGAGGATTACGACCCGATCGATGACTGCGGAGAGGCCTACTACGGAGACGAGGCCGAGTGGTACGATGACGATGAGGAAATCCCAGGGGAGCTCGAGTAAGCCTACAAGACGACGGAGGAAACGTTTGCCAACTACACGGACGCGAGGGCGATGATGACAGAGTTGGCGACGGCGAGAGGGTTCTCATCGGGGGGGTCTTGATCGACGAGCGTGGACCGCCAAGATCAAGCAACACAAAAGGGAAAAGGTAAAAGAAAGAACCCTGGAAAGCCACGTGGGAGCCCGAACAAAGCAAAACTGAAGGCACATACGGCGGCAGAGCACCACACGAGTGGAAAAGGCGCACGGAAAGGAAGACACTCACACAGCACTCCCAAGACTTCCGGATCAGGAGCTACCCGGTCGCACGGACCGAGACTCAAAGCGACGGGAGAGGCACAAAGACGCAAAATGATGCTCGAGACCCCGAATAGCATCAGCAAAGGCACTGTGCAGGACGAAGACGGCGACATGATGGTAGAAGCGGTGCATCTGGCTACGGGAGCAAGAGTTAGCGACAGTGGAGCTACGAAGCCAGTCATGTGCTTCGACGAATGGCCAGAATGGAGGGAGAAGACCACATCCCCAGGCCTGGCCAAGGAGATCACTGCGGAGAAATGCCACAGAACTTTCAGGTTCGGCGACGACGAGACGTCGACGGCAGTGCAGATGGTGCAGAAGCGAAAGACATCGGTGTACCTGGGGCCCGCGAAGGGGTCCCTGCTGGTGGCGAGAGCGAGACCCTGCTTGGAGGGGTGGAGCATGGTGATCGTAGGGGGCCACATGCGAACCCTACCCCTACCCCCCACGATTTCTGAGGGGGAGGGTGGGGCTCATTTCGTTCGGCAGCTCCCGAGCGAAGGGAACCCCACCCTCCCCCTCAGAAATCATGGGGGGTAGGGGTAGGGTTCGCATGTGGTCTCCTAGATCGACTATCGCGACAACAAGGTGATGTACCTAGACGAGGACCCGCCGGAATGGACAGACACAGAGGCGCACGGGAAAGGCCACATGACACTCGGCCTGTTGAGCTTCTCGAGGGAAGCGATGGCGGCGAACGACGCCTCAAACTCAACAAATGCCGACACCGACGGTGATCGCCAAATAACCAGCGACAAGGAAACGGACATCTGCGTGACGAGCAGCTACGGCGAGGAGAAGGAGAAGGCGGAGGTGGAAAGTCTCGAGGAAAAGCCGCTGCGAGCATGGCTCAAACAGGTGCACCGCATCCTCGAAGAAGAAGAAGAAGATGAAGAAGAAGAAGAAGAAGAAGAAGAAGGAGAAGAAGACGCCGTGCACGTCAGAGGTGCATGGGCAGGAAAAGTGGCGCCGGCATGACGGCGGCCGAACGCAGTGAAACAATGCGACAGACGAAGCTCTCTCGGTATCCCCGTCCCCATGGGCAGGGACCGTCTAAAAACTCGAAAAAAGCCCGCATGTGGACGACCCGGGAGAGCAACGGCAGCAGGAGGCAGAGGAGGGAACGACACCCGAAGAAGCCCTAAGTCAAGCGGAAGTCCTGGAAGACTACTGTGGCGGGAAGGCCGCATATATCTCAATGTGCAGAAGCATGGCGCTTTCGAGGCGGAAAAACATGCACACTGGAGACGGGCTGGGATTTCGGGAAGTCATCTCACCTCCCTCCTCCCTCCTCCCTCCTCCCTCCTCCCTCTAGCTGAAAAGAAGGGAAGGCCCGAGGAGGTGTGGACAGCGCCGCCAAGTACGCCGTGGTCTGCGATCAGCGCGGTGAACGAGGCCAGCAAGGACGACCACTACCGGCAGCAGCGCAGGCGCGAGCATGATAAGCAGAAGGAGGAGTTCATACAGTTTAGCCGCGACATCTGCGAGATCCAGCGGCCATCCGAGCGGCAAGCGTACATTGAAGCACCCACAGTACGCTACTTCGTGGAAGACCGATGCGTGGACCGGCATGCCGGGCAGCGACACGTTTGTGGACCAGTGCGCGCACGGATTGATAGCGATAGATTGCGATGGCAGGAGGCTGGGCTGGGACCGATCAAGGAGCTCACGAACGTGCGAACCACCAAGTGGGAGATGCACGAGAGACCTTAGAGGCGATGCAGCTGTACGGTACGACAGCAACTACTGGAAGAAGCTCACAAAACGAGAGGCGTGGAGAACTGACCCCGCAAGATGGCGCTGAAGGCAGCGACGTGCATCGCAGAGGACCCGCAGGACGAGTCCAGCTACACAATGGAGGAGATGTCGCAGGAGGGCCTCGACAGGACACTGCACCGGATGATGTAGAAGGCCCCGCTCCTGAAGTTGACGATCAAAGAGGTGGATTGGGTCGAGAAGGTACACATCCAGATGGGACAACCATCGAGCGGGGCGCTGGCTGCCACTTCCAGAGGGGACAACGCCGAGCAACGTCTCGTCAGCTGTGCCAGGATCTACGCGTGCGGAACGCGCCTGAAGAGGCTGAGGCCGAAGGCTGCGAGGATCGCCCGCACCCTGAGGGACATAGGCTTCGGCGACACGATCGACATCGGCACCTTCCGCGTGCTGTGGAAAGACGAGCGCAAGGTGATCTTCACCGTCATGGACGAGAGCTCGAGATACGAGGTGGACGTGGTGGTGAGCGACGAGAAGGCCAGTACAGAGACTCAGGCGATCGAGAAGCACTGGATTCAGTGGGCCCAATCACTGGCTAAGATTCGAGCAGATCAGAATGGAGCTCATGTGAATGAGGAGCTCGGCGAGTGGCACGAGAGTCGGAAGACCAAATTGCAGCTGATACCCAGAGACGCGCACCACAAGCTCGGCATCTTGGAGAGAAACCGTCAAGTGCGAAGCCAACAAATTGCTACACATCACGCGGACCACCCGGACGACAGCCTGAAGATAACGGTGCGCATGACGCAGGACATGAGGAACAGGCTGCGCAACGTGAAGGGCTTCACGCCTGCTCAGCGAGCGCTGGGACGGCGGCTCCACGATCTGGACGGCCTCGCCGACGAGCCGACCGCGACGGGCGACCTGAGAGACACGATGAGTTCCACGAGAGCCTGGAGGCAAGCAGGCACTCCTGGAGGCAGGAGCGAGGCAGGAGGGATACTAGCAAGACACTCCTGGCGGCCAACCTGGCACGCGAAGTGCGAGAGGCGCTGGCAGCAAGGAACCGGCCCCTCTCGAGCGAGTTCCAGACCGGCGAGTGGGTGTACTGTGCTTCTGGAGGCGTGGCAGTGTTGAGGGTGAGAGCGACCTCTTCAAAAGCCAAGGGAAAAGAGCCGCCATGGCAGTCCAGGTCGAGCACGCCGACGACCTGGACGGACACTCAGACAATATACGACAGCACGCTGCTCAAGACGTCGCACGAGCAGCCGAGAGCCGAGCTACTGAGCGAGCGGCACGAAAGGGAAAGCAAGGACGAGTGTGCTACGGACTGCCCCCAGCGACGGCAGAGAGAATCCTCGATGAGCTGAAGACCATCAGCGGACCGATCAAGCACAGGGACCACGCGGGTGAGCCGATGAGCCGACGGCAGAGATACGCGGACGATCACGTCCCGGGCGGCACGGACGTGGAGCCCGAGGGAGTCGGCACGGACGGCAAGGAAGGGGAACCGAACGGCGACGTGGTGCGCGGCGTGGGCGACCAGAGC